TAGGCAATAACGGACAAATCTCTGCAAATGCTAATTTACTACCGAATGAGCATAATTCATCCATGCAATCTCCATTAAATGGACCAATTATGATGGGTAATAATAGTAACATGCTCTCGAACACAATTCAAGTGGGCAACAGTACGCCTCCTGTTGGATGCACTGTCAGTGGGGGGAATGGTCCAGTTGACGTAGGTAACGTTGGGTACAAACCATTTGTTGGTCCAGCTTCGAATGATCTTAAGTATGCGCAGCAGTACCATAGTTTTCAGCAGCAATTGTATGCAACATCCACGAGAAGTCAACAAAATACTGGCAATACTAATATTGGAAGCAATGTATCGGCTAATCCTTCTTATTTTGTCAATAAGTAAATTCTAAAATTATAAGTACAAGCTAAGTTATCCATTTGCAATAAATCTTGCTCGATTCGTCTCCTTAAAATCAACGCTCTTGCGTACATATACAGATCTATGTCACTGTTCTTATGCCATTTAAAGTACCGCCCTTGATGGCATCAACTGAGTATTTTTGGTTTTCTTTAGTCTATGTGTAAGTACTTATATAGCTTTTTGTGGTGTTAAAAAAAAAAAAAGATTAAAACATGCCGTTACTAAATTTGAAAATATTTTACTTTGAAAAACTTGGAATACAGTGGGCATAAGGTAAAACATAATATAAAATATATGAAGCTTCAATGTGAAGTCAAACAAGTATATATGCAGACACATAACATTGCGGTATTTACAGTTATACTTTCCTTATTTTATATAACTTCGAAATATTTTTATAAACAAATAATCTGTTAAATTAAATAGTTGCGGTTGAATGTTAAGTGAACATAAAGCACATCAAGTAAGGAAGGGCTAATTTCGGTAGTAACAGGACATTAGATACTCTCGCAATTGCCGGAGGATCAACGATATAAATAATTGACAACTAAACCAATGCGCATGAACAATCAATCGACCGTTCCCACGACAGCCGGGTCTACGAAAACCGGAACGGACCCGGATTTTTATCCGGCCAAGGACTGTCAACTCGGCAGAATTCTGCCGTTAGAACAACAACAACAACAACAATCAATCGAATATGCAATGCGGACTTAATGGCATTTTCATTATCGTCCCTCCTAGTGTTAGTGTCGACAACATGCTCAGTTGTCACACCGGAGGTAATAACAGTGTGTGTGTAACATCACTGGCTCTGGTGGACTTATGCCGAATTCACCTGAAATTGTAATAATATTAGAGAATGCAATTTGAAACACCAATACTATCAAGCGAATTGAAATGAATGGGTTGGGTGCTTAGTAAATGGCTAAGGTAGGTATGGCACAGATGGAGATGAAGATTGTCCAAATTACAACAAGGGTGAGGCACAAAACGATGTCGGATGTATGCCAACATCACTTTGTCGTTCAAATTCTGCAAGCATGCGACCAAATTTTATATAATTGGAACATGTATACAAAGTTAAGAACAAGTATCTGTCAAAGCATTCGTTCAACACAAGGCTCACCCCCACCATATCATCCTATACAGCGTTCGGCATCGGTACCCATTGCAGCAGTGTTCACATTCATCTAATCCTAATAAGCCGACGTCATATTGATCGTTACCGTCACCTTGAACAACAGGAGCATTAGGAGTAACAACAAACTCACCAAATCAGCAGTCAATACAGTAGTACAAAGTAATAAAAAATGCTGTACAAATACAATTGCGAATAGATATCGTAATAATCAAACGAGCCAATTCAATAGTAACCTCAGTACTCGATTATCACCCTTATCACCAAAAGATCTTGATTCATTTCATACAAATGTACAAGCAGGTATATAAACTACTTTATAGCTAATATTTTTATACGTTTTAACAGGTGGTTTAAAAAATACGCGTCCTGGTCCACAAAGGTCACGGACTCCTTTGATAGGATCAAATGATAGTAATATTGCTGATGCTGGAAATATTGACGGTCGTTTCTTTTCAGCCAGATCAGGCTGAATTATTTTAATGACTACCTTGTATTTCAGCTCCAGTTCCTTCACAGTTCAATCGTCGCACAGACAACCTCCCTTTAAATCCTAATAGTAACCGGCCAACGCGGAATAAATTAAATCATTCTTTTGATCCAATATCGTCATTAGCTCAGAAGTTGCGTGTCATTGCAGTGAATGATGTAAACGTTCCGAATAATGTACACCAAAATTTAGAAACTGTGATGGCTTCAATAGATACGGGATTAGACCACAGTAATGCTGTCTCATCGGCTAATATGGGAATGCCCCCCATATAAGTGGTCCCGAACCGTTAACGTCTAATAACTGTCAGATTAATTCTATGTTGAGTTCTATGGAACAACGTGTACTTAATCTAAAAATGTGCGGAAGTTTTAATTCAGCCAACGGTGGAATAGGACGGGACGGACCAAGTGGATTGCATGGAGTAATGCCCAATCATCGAATGATGAGTCGCATGCCCATGAATTTTAGTAATTTTAATGTTTCATCCAATATACAAGTTAGGACCAGGACTCCGAATACCATACAGTATATGCCAATACGCGCTCAAAGCAATAATAATAGTAATATACGTGTTCCACCAAGTCTGGAATTCTTACGTTACGCAAACCCGCAAATGGCCGGTGCTGGTAATATCATGGATAATGGTCACATAGGTCAAGGAAATGCGGGTGCATCCGAACAAAGTAATATAAGTAATTGCAACAATGGACCAGCAAATACGGGAAATACGAGTATGAACTTTTTTGGAAA